CCGCAGCCTGTTTATTGTGTGCGATCCCATACAGCAATAAGCCTTGCATGAAATCCTGGTTGCCCATAATCTAACTGGTAGTCGCTAGCTTGACCGATTGTCTGTGGCTGAAATTCCATCAGGTTCTCGACTAGGTTAACCCGCTATGGATGGCCACGGAGAATTCGTCGATCGTCCCACATGGTTGGGCCGCGGGGCTTCAAAGTGAGCCAGCCAACAGTTCGCCAGATGCACAACGGTAATATCGGCCGAACCAACAATTACCTCGGGATGGCTGACGGCTGGTGGCTGCGACGGAGCACGGATATCTACACGCAATCACGTGCTCGTGATCGACCGACAAGCATCGCTTCATAGGCAAAAAAGTTGATGCATACGAATACTCGGTATGCTCGTGTGAGGCTACCAATGTCCAATAACCATCAGCCTGCCGACTTTTCCATGACGACACGGATGTCTTCTTGATCGTCTACGACAACAGTGACTGCACTACGTTTAGATTTCTGGTCCGCGCGTATACCTATTGCAGTATATGCTGGCGGTCCCTTAAACGCTACTGCATGTTGGATCATGCATAAGCTGAAAGCATTTGGCCTAGGTGGGCTAGAACGCGTCAAGAACCGTGGTCCAAATCGTTCGATATTCCACAATACAATGAGGCTCAATCCTTGGCCGTCTGGCTCCCCAGGCGTCATCTACAGCTAGTACCTGCGTCCTTTTCTTTTTCCGGTGTTAGCGCCAGGACGGCGTCTTTTTCAACCCGGGAACTATCAAGGTCGTTGAAAAGATCAGATGCCTTGTCGGTAACGCTAAACAACAAGATTCTTCCTTTCATAACAACTTTGTTTCGTCTTTTAGTGCGCTAGCAAGACCCACACATCAATCGAGAAGGCCCAGATGCCGGCGAACTATCCACCACGCTGAACATTATTTTTGGCCAATTCCGCAAAATCTATTTATCTACACCAAGAGGGGTTAGCGGTCTACTACATTGCGTACGTCATGTTATGTGACGGCACGACACACTGCGCTCTCGATACCTGGTGCTACATTTCCCATCTAGCTCTTAGCAATGCTGACTACCTAACTCGGAGATATACAGTCTACTACACAGGATGAAGCTTGGCGGTTCTGGAGAGTCACAATCATCGTAGACAATCAAAGAATTCTTCACGGTGCCCCCCACCAAAAACGAATTTAGCTCCGCATCTCCCTAAGCGCGACTTGTGGATGCATTGGACGTTAGTTAGCTTGAAGAGAATATCTTCGACTAACAGTGAACTTTCAATGGCCGTTGATAGCCGAGGGACATTTACAGCATCAGTTGAGCGTGGTTTGACTTTCTTCAGCTTCCCCATACTTGGTACACCATGGGTAACACTACTGAGTACCGTGTCCCTTATTTTTTGCGGATTCAGTGTTGTGCGTCCCTGCCAGTTATAGCTAATATGATGCCACTTATAGCCAAGGATTCGGCCAACACTATCCATGCAGAAGATCTTATATTCAATGGGTAGGTCAATTAATTCCCTCTCGCTTGTGATGACCTGCAGAACGTTGGGCGTTGGTGTGGATCTGGCAGGGTGCACACACAACACGCTACGAAGTACACTACGAAGCACATGTGTGATGAACGGCTCTCACGAGCCGCGGACCTAGTGTACAGTAGGTACAACTTGGCTTTTGATACTAATATAGGGTACACTAGTATAACACACTACTACATGTACACGTGTAGTAACGGCGACGACGTGCAAGCCTGGGAATGAAAACTGTGTCACTCTTACAATCTCTATACCAAGTATGTCCATAGCGCTGCGCATACGTTATCCTTTCGTAAGAGTGTTGAGCACCGCTAGACTTGTTCGATGCAATGGGCAATTTGGTTCTTAGTCACGATGCTGCTTACGACATGGATGACCTACCTACATACCTCTGGGCCCAGACTAATGCATCCTTCAAGTATAAGACGGGGCAGGAGGGCGGTTCCAGAGAACTATCCCGACCAAAAAGAGAAAGAGTTCGCGCGGCCAGCTCACCCATTACTTAGTATGTCAGTGAAATCATATCATCATGACCTTTTGGCTTGCTTTGTCCAGGGATCCAGGATCATGACCACCACACTCCGCCGGCTATAAGTAGGAGTATTAAGTATCATTGCATTCCCTCTCTCAAAGAGGAAAAATGCAGCAAAGCAACTAGCTAGCCCGTCCAAACAGGACAAATCAATCCGGCCTATTCCTATTGTGTTTTCTCCGCGATCTGCTGAATATATTATGTGTTACTAACCTCGGTGTTATACAATTTGGCCGAGAACTCACACGCAAAGTTACGGAATCTAAAATAAACCACCTCGCTAGACGTGAAGATCGTTTAAATCTCGATCTCGTCCCGCGGAAGGAGGTGGATAGAATGCCGCAGCACGGAAAATCAGCAAATAACTGCAGGTAATTTGCTTAAGTAGATAGATAAGATACCTTGTCTAGTGTATGACCAGTATTATGTGCGCTCCGCTCCGCTCTCATCATCAAGATTACCATACTAAGTAATCGGATCGTGAAATAAAAAAAAAGATTGCAGTTGTAGATTACAGTACACTACTACATACGTGCCGTGCATGTCCCTGCTTCTTCACTCTATCGTAAGAATGACCTACATTACATTACATATACACACGAACCGAACTTCTTCAATACCGAAGCCGGGGAGGAGGAAGGAGAAGGGGGAAGAAGGGGGGGAAGAAGAAACGGCCCTTTCTCGGGCCCTGGTCCCTGCCCTGCCTTTTGGTCTAGAGTCATTCATTCAATCAGTCAGCTTACCACTCACTCACCTTTTCACTGAAGTAGGTACCGTAGTTGTTCACTACCTAGGTAGTTATTCCATGGCAAAAAAAGAATTGGTAAACGCGGGCAGGGGAGGGAAATAGGAGGTACCGTATCGTAACGAGGCCGGTCAACATGAAACAAAGTGGCGTTTTCCCCTTCTACGTACACATACGCAGGAGTAAGTACAACTTCCGAGAACGTGAATGAATGAATGAATGAGCTATACTATCTATATATATCTACATGTGAAATACCTATGAACTTGACTCCTACGCCACGCCACGCCACGATACCTAAGTATCCTGGGGATAGATCCCTACCTACCCACCTACCTACAACACAGATAGATGCGTGTCTATACGCACAACGGGTTTAATCCATTTTACCTAGCTAATTAGGTATCTATCTATCTACACTATACACATACCATGAGTACTTCCAGATACCGCAGACCACCGATCTAGATCATTTCAGATCAACCAGCTCGGTCTACCTCCTTTCGGTTTCCCATTCTTAAATTTGTAGGTCGGTCGGCCAGTCTACTGAAGCTCATGCCTACCGAGTAGTAGCTGATATTGTAATACAGGTAAGTAAACAAGCAAGACAAGTCCATGCACGTTGCATATAAACGTAGATCTCACTCAAGATACAGTGGCAATAGAGAGAAATAAAGAGACAGAGAGGATACAGGAATCAATGTCGAAAATCAGACTTGCTCTAACATGTACGACCCATCATCTACCGGAATATCATCGATCATCCTGTATACTCCGCGTAGGCAGTATAGACACTTATGCCTCCTAACCCCTTTTGCCCCCTTTTCCTCCCCTTTTACTTATTTACACCTACAGACAAATCAGACCAAATGAACCATGTAGTGTAGTGTAGAGTAGTATAGTAGAATGTAGTGAGTACAGTGTAATACAATATAACAAGCCCGGCATAATCAACTTCACATCAATGACCATGAACAAATATCCTATCTACTTATGTACTTATGTACTTATCTATCTATCTATCGACTTCACATCCTCAAAACACCCGCGAATCGCCCTAAAAGAACCCTTCTCTCTCTCTCTCTCTATATATATATAACATATCCATCTCTTAAAGCAAGAAAACACCAAATTCACAACAATCTCATCAGAAGTTCATAACACAACTACCAAGCAGCAGCAGTAGCAGCAGTAGTAATAATAGTAGTAAGAGGTGATGAAGGAGGAGCCATTATCGTATACTCGTATATCAACATGCTAATAGTCTATCTACCACAGCGTATTTACAACTCCCCTTTCCCATCCCCTATCCATTCCCGTTCCATTCCATTTTTCCTTTCCTTTCCTTTCGTATACTCCCAGTCCCAGCGAAACTTTATTTAGGAGAGCTTGATGCTCGCTATCCCGCTTGCTCGCAGCCCATGTTGCCGGGGGAAAAAAACTAGAAAAAATAGAAACACAGACGCTACGCCTATGTAGTTCCCCATCCACCCATCCATCAACCGAAGAGCCAATGCTAATGCTATATAAAAGTTTTGCAATAAGAAAGAAGAAGAATGATGGATGAAATTATACTTCGTATAGGACAGGAATGCGCTTCACCAAACCACGCCAATGCTGGCTGAAAATGCTTTGCTCTCTTATTCTAAAGCGGTTGCATGCATGCATGCATGATGCGCCAAGCGCTATAATGCAAAAGAAGGATTTGCTTTGACTGCTTGCTGTTTGCAGTCGATCGAATGATGGCACATAAAAACGTAAACAACAAAAGTGTCCGCAAACCCCCAGAAAGCAATGGGAAACCCCCACGATCGGTCTTCGCCTAAGTGAAACTGTGTGATTCGACGGTGGGATAGGATGGATTGCTGTTACAAGCTATTGGAGAGGAATATGAGGAAATTCCGGTCTTCGGAGTCCATTGCCTGATAGAAATCCAGACTTGCGCAGATTATTGAGAACGACCGAGTCCGAATGCCCTCGCCACTTTCAACAGCATCTGTCGAAATCGTGCTTCTTGGGTTCATCTTTCCTCTGAGGATGAGAAAGTCAATCAATGAAACCGCTGTTTCATTGTGAGCTTACGCCACGGGGCGAATGGCTAGATAACTCTGGCTGTTCCGAATTGACCAATTCTGAAAGTCTTGTTTGATAATAAGTACCTGTGAAGAATATAATTAAATCAACTCTTCCCAACCGGCGAAGCGCTCGGCGTTGGCGAACTGCTCGAACTAGTTTCCCCCGCCTTGTTCGAATCCAGTATTTGCGCAACAGTATACGTATCAAGCTTCCGCCTGAGCAAATCAACTTTAACTGGCTTAGCCAAGTAATCGTTCATCCCAGCAGCCAAACATTTCTCACGGTCGCCCTGGATAGCCGAGGCCGTCATTGCGATGACCAAAATGGTTCTGACATCTTCGTTAGGATCTTGGCGTAAGAGCTTCGTTGCTTCGTAACCGTCGAGAACAGGCATCTGAACATCCATGAGAACAATATGATATGGCTTTCCTTCTCGAGCTTTGCGTCGGAGCCCCTCCACAGCCTTTAGTCCATTCTCGTACGCATCCACGTGCGTGTAGCCAAGTCTCCGCACATACTGAATAGCTATTTTCTGGTTGATCTGATTGTCTTCAGCAATACAGATCCGCAGTTGTTCCTTGGGTATCATAGTTAAGTCTATATATGAGAATTCTGAGTCGTCCTTAATTATCTGCTGGATGCGGTTTCTGGGTTGTTCGGTCGTGGGTGGCAGCTGTATGTTTTGAACATCGCCAGCAGATACCTCTGGTTTTGCTTTCTCGAAGGTTACAGTAAACAAAACCGTGGTACCGGTGTTCTCCTGGCTTTCGAGTTTAATCTCTCCGTGCATCATTGTCTCGATTAATGATTTGCAGATGCTGAGCCCGAGACCACTACCACCATATTTTCGAGCAGTGCTGGCGTCGGCCTGACTGAATGGCTTGAAGAGTTTTGCGAGCTGTTTTGGCGGGATTCCAATGCCTGTATCTCGAACCCAGAAAGTCAGTTCAACCTTTTCCGGCCAGTCGTGTTCAACCTTAGCACCAATGGTGATAGATCCGTCTTCGGTAAACTTGAGACTGTTCCCAATAAGGTTCCCAAGGACCTGATGAAGACGTATGGGATCTCCGTATATGAGCATAGAAGGTAGGTCAATGTCTTGAACTATTTTGACATTCTTCTTTGATGTCTTCTCTCGATTGCTGTATGAGACTGCTCTAACCACTTCACGAACCATCTCTTCTGGATTGAATGCGATGATATATAGCTTCATCTTGTCGGCCTCCATCTTGGAAAAGTCAAGTATATCATTGATAACAGTAAGTAAAAGGTCAGCTGACACTCGAATGGACTCGGCCATCTCTAACTGTTCCTTGTTGAGATTACTGTCCCTCAAGAGTTCCGAGTTGCCGATAACGCCGTTCAATGGAGTACGTAGCTCATGGGACACGTTTGCAAGGAAGATATTTTTCGCTTTAGCGGCTTCCTCGGCAATTTTAACGTTGCGTTTAGCTTCATTTTCCGCATCTTTTGCTTTAGCTTCGGCAGCCCTGGCTTGCGCGAGTGCCCTCTTTTGCAGATCGATCATGGCGTCATTCTCCTTGAATGCCTTCTCAAGTTCTTTCATAGCGAGGGCATTAGAGTAACTGATCCCTATTTGGTTTACTAGTAATTGCAATACAGTGATTATTCTGTCAGTAAATGATCCCGACTCTCCCTCAAGGTAAAGTACACCGAGAAGCGGCTTTGAGCCATGGCATATGGGAATTGCAACGACGGCCTTGCTCATTGGGTTCCTTTGTAGCCAGGATTCTGCTACATTACCGAATCTCTCGTCGGTGAGGAGATCGGAGATGAAAACTACTTCACGAAAACGCGTGCAGTAGAGAATGACGTTCTCTGCAACTAATGATGTGCCGATAAGGGGAAGTCTGGGCACGTGGGCTGTTGCACCCTTTTCTGGGTCACCGCTAGAAGCGATACACCAATTGCTATCGGCCTTGTTATCCTCATCTGGGACGATGATCGCTGCTTGCGTGACAGATGCCCCACAGGTTTGCAGTATGACATCGCACATTGTCTTTAGTAAGACGTCGACTCGTAGGACAGAGGATATGACCTGTGACGAGACGAGAATAGCGTGTAGATCAATCATATCGAGCGCTGGAAGACCGACGCCCGGCTCTGTTTGTGTTGTTGATCCGCGCCATGCTGCCATTCTAGTCTCCTTCGTCTCTTCGATTGCGGGCTGTCCTGCTTGACGAACATCTTCACCGTCGGCGGTATACGTGACAGATGCCGAATCGCCGGCAAAGTCTGTTTGGACGGCTGCTTCAGTCAAACGAGGATTTGGGGTAGGGCCGTGAAGTAGGAGGATATGATCCTCTTCAATTGCGTGGGCAATCCCGTTTGCTCCTAATTGTTTCCAGAGGGATATCGCTTCCTTCAGCACCGCCGTTGCTGATCGCCTTGCCGATTGTCTGATGAAAAACCCAGCCATTAAGTAATTCCCAAGAGCTTCCTCAAAAGTGAGTCCATATTCCGAAGCATGATCTAGACCCGCCTCGTGCAGGCGGATAGCAGAGCCATGCTCTCCACTGAGCTCTGCGACCTGAGCGTCTAGAAACTTGGACCATGCGAGGTAGTTAACATTGGAAATCTGTTGCCAATCTTTGACCTTCTGGCTGAAGCCCTTGATTTGATCAATGGCTTCTTGAATTTCATGCCCCATATCCGCCTTGTTCGTGCGTGGATCTGCCAGTTTCTGTAGAACAAGGCCTGCATGTGCTAGCCCATAGAAAAAGAGGACCACTCTGGTGTTGCGGGCTGACCAAATCAAGTCAAGCTTGCTTTCGCATCTGCGTCCAAGCGTGCACGCTTCTTCATAGTGTCCGTAGAGATACAAAGGGATAATCTCCAAGGTTTCGTAAAAAAGAGTTGATCTGCCGCCATTATTTACATAGCCATCAAGCCAAGCTTTGTATGCAATGGAATCGTGTTGGTCATCAGACATGACACCCTTTGGATCCATCGTATTGGTTTTCCCCTGAAGTGATCGGCACACTTGCCTTACTGATATCAAGAAAGTTCCGCCACTAGTGTCTTGATGCCAGCCAGGAACTTCCTCACAGCAGTATTGACACACAGATTCTAAATCAGCAACGTTGTCACTCGCGAAAAATTTCATCTGTACCGAAAGACCGAAGCTGAGAATCACGGACGCCCGATCACCTGCACTCGCGGCACAATCAAGAGATTGCTCACAAAATGCAACCGATATACAAAGGGGGGTGTTTATGTGACTAATGAACGTCGCGTACGCCATATATCCGCGAGCGATCGATGTAGGGTCCCGATATGCGTTGAGAAGCGTTGAACATTGGCTCCCAAGCTCTGACGCGAAGTCTAACATATTAAATCTTGACAACGCAATCATGGCCAGATACAGAAAGGCCATGGAAGATTGGGGCATAGGTCCATCCGTTAAGTGCATGTTCATCAAGGCGAGCGCTAGGTTGTAGAATTCGAGAGCATCGCTCCACCAAGCAGCTTGGGCAGCGTCTGCGAGAAGAAGGCCGGAGGTCATTTTCTGGGCCTTGGCTTCATGAGAAGGGTTGACTGCTTCTGCATGACCTAAGACCTTGAGCTTCTCGGAGAGTGCCATAAAAGTCTCATCACACTTCTCCCAAGTAGGCTTGTGGTCAAACTCGACGCCTGATTGATGCAAACTCTGCTTTAGAGTAGCGAGCGCCGCGATAGCATTGCCAGTTTGGAACTGAATGCGGGAATGTAGTACAGCTGCAGCTGCTTTATCGTCCATTGTCGTAGCATTGTCGTAAACAGTATCCGTCAACTCTTGGGCCGCTTCATGGTTACCCATATAAACATAGCATTCTGCAGCTCTGAGATACAGCTGAAGTGTCTCGTCATAGTGCACATCGTCCTTTCCTTCGGTCCAAGGATCCGGTTGTAGAAGCAATATAGCGCGACGATAGTATTTGACTGCAGTCGGTTTTGCGCCGTTTTCTATAGCAGTTGCAGCACATTCCATGAGAAGCTTTCGGAAAGGATAACGATTGTGGACCCGCCCCTTGATCATGTCGACACACTCACACACATGGGCAGCAGTATCGTCCCTCGTCTTTATCCCGGAGCTAAACTGCGCCATAAGGGTTTGCGCTATGATGAAATGCATGCTTCGGATGTTGCACTCCTTCAGAGACTGGAAGGTTTAATTGTTAGTGGCGGTAAAAGTACAAAATGTGGATTCGTGATGGGGGGGGGGGGGGTTGGAATAAGGTTCGCGAGTTACCATGTGTAGACTCCGCAGAGGGGTGAACATATATA